TCCGCGATGCGTCCGGACGGTATGAAGCGAGCTGCTGCGGCTGTGACTACCTTGCGGAACTGGCGTTCGCCAGCATGTACGTCTGTGGGTGTGGGGAGGGCGGCGAAGCTGCTCTCGGTAACTTCCGCGAAGCCGTTCCAATCAGCTTTGTTGAAGTTGGTGTAGGTTCGGTGATCCGCGGGAGCAAAGTCGGTGGGCTTATTGATCGAGATGATTATGGGCAGATGGTCTGATGCTAACGTTAGCATAGGTCGCTATGATATGCTATTTATCAGACCAGCGCTAGCAATTGTTAGGTCTGGCGAGCTGCTGCAGCTGCCCACAATCCTGGTGGGGGCGTCGTCGTTCATGGTGCAGAATGTCGAATCGTCTATCTGCTCAGCCAAACTGTTTCCCCTCCGATCATTGGCCAGGCTTGAGTGCCAAAGATCGTGGTGCGCATTGAAGTCACCTACTACCAATCGGTTTTCGCCTCTGAGTAGCGCACCTATGTCAGGGAGATATCCAGCCGGGCAGCAGGTGACAGGGGGTATGTACACGTTAAATATTTCGAGCTCGACATCGCCTGACCGGACAGCTATGCCCTGACATTCTAGGGTAGTGTCCCTTGGGTCGATGTCTTCTTCGATTAGCCGATACTGCACTGTGTGGTGTAGAATGAACGCTAGTCCATCACCATTATCTCGCTCGCGATCTTTACGGAGCACATTGTAGGCGGCGCAACCCAACAGAGTTGAGTTGCTGTGCAACTTCGTTTCTTGGACCGCAGCTATCAATATGCCGTGCCGACCCATGAAGACTGCTATCTCCTCAATCTAGCTCTGGAGTCCGTTGCAGTTGAGTTGGAGTACGTTCATTTGCCTTGGGAGGCTGGTCGCGATACGGGGGGTCAGAGAAGTGTGGGGCCTACCTTGGGCCTGTTGCGCCTGACGCAGTTGCTGTTGCAGCCTGATGGTAGGTGGCTGCGATATGGGCGTTGTTGTCTGCGTCGGCGGTGCACTACAGCAAGGGGCGCTGTAGTTTGTAGTCCATTCGCGAGTGGTGCGTAGACCAGAACATAGCCGGAAGTGGCACCAGCCAAGGCATGTGTTGCATTTGACTGATGTCACATTCCGGTATATTCTGTTCTGGCACACGGAGCAGATGGTGTGGGCAACCAGTAGCTGCTGGTTGGCTCGCGCTCGCGAGTGGGACCGGCCGGTAGGTTGTGTGGGAGGGGTGTGTTGGGAGGTTTGCTGTTGCTCAGAGGAGCTTCTAGGAGCCGTGCAGGCTCTTCGGGTGCTAGGTCGCACCCGTGCATTACGCGAGTGGGTAGCCGTGGAGGCTGATTGTGCCATTTGGCTTGAGCAACAGGGAGCCACAAAGTTTGTGGTCCACTCCCGGTGAGACCTAAGGCCAGAGCAGGTTCTTAGGTGACTCCACCCGTTGCAGGAGTTGCACCTAACCGAAGTGGAGTTCGGGTGGAGTCCATTCTGGCAAACACAGCAGAAGTAAATTTCAGGTCCGGGGTTGGGCTCTACGCCCGCCCGGAGAAGAAGGATGCGGAGCAATCCGGCTGCAAGGTATTGCTCCATGGACGGATAATGATTAATGGGTATCGCCGATCTAGACGGGGTTAGATCGCCGAAACAACGGCCCTTGGTCGGGTGAAACCCCAGTCATTCCGGTACGTAGAACCGGCTGTCGTGGGAATGACGGGACAACCTGTCTTTCTCGACGGTGTACTCCTTCACTGAAGAGTCGTCCACGTTTACCTTTTCGATGATTTTTTTGATACGTTCGTCGCTTAACTGCATCGCAAAGAGCCAATCGTTGTTGGTAATATTCGTTTTCAATATGCGTAATGAGGCTGTCTCAACTTCAGAGGCGCCCTCAACTGGAGCTCGGCTTAGCGCATCTACGGGCTCCATTCGTCTTCCGGCACGATGTTCAATAACGATGACATAGTCTTGGACTTTCAGCCACCATCTGGCTATTCGTGGTATAAGTTCGCGTTTTTGCATCACAGTGCTAATCGCGTTGCAACCTGTGACTACCATAAACATAATATCGCATACGTTCAAGAGCTTCCGCAATCGCCAACGTCTCCAATTCATAGCTATGGTACTTTCTTTCATCGTCGCTAGTTGATCGGCTATAGTAGAGTACGGGTTTCCAACTACCACCTTCATTTTGTAAAAGCACGGTGCTAAACCAATCGTACTGGCATCAGTATGAATTTCATGCTCTGCGCTCGCATTGTACGATACCATTAATGGTTGAGATGTGAGTATGCCTTTGAGACGATTAAAAGCTATCTCTTGTTCATTTGCCCAATGAAATTCGCTGTCTTTTCGTAAAAGTTTTCTTAACGGTTCAGATAAAATAGCATAACCCGGAACAAATCGTCGGAAATAACCGCTAAGTCCTAAAAATTTGCGGACTTCATGAACGTTAGTTGGTGTTTTAAACTGGTCAACCGCAATCGTTTTTCGTAACCCTGGTTGAATACCACCAGAGCCAAGACCATGTCCCAAAAATTCAATTTTAGTTTTGAGGAATTCGCATTTTTTAATGTTAAGCGTTAAATTTAACTCGCGCATAGCTTGAAAAACACGTTTAATTTTCCCGCACATTTCGTCAATGGTATGGCTGCCTACTAGGATATCATCCATGTAATGAATCATACCAGTTGGTTTAACTCTGTCTTTGATTTTTGCCATAAGCCGTTGAAAAACAGCTGGCGCGTTCTTAAGCCCGAATGGCATGCACTTGAAATTATATAATCCTTCAGTGGTAATGAACGCTGTATATTTTTGACTTTCAGGGGCTATTGGCAGCTGATAATAACCCGAATTTAAATCAAGTGTCGTGTAGTATTTAAAGTTCGCAATTTCTTGTAAAGTCTCTTCGATGTTAGGCATAGGAAAATTTTCCTTTTTTGTATGAGCATTTATTTTACGGTAGTCAACACACATTCTATCAGTACCGTCTTTCTTTTTTATTAACGTTATTGGGCTAGCATAAACCGAGTCCGACTTTTCAATAATATCGTTTTTTAGAAGATCTTTTATTATTTGACTTACGATCGCTTTTTTCGGTTCTGGAATTCGATATGGTGTTTGCGCGATTGTAATATCCGTATCCAATTTGATGTCCATATTAATTGCATTTGTTTTACCGATTTCATTGAAATCACTTGCAAATACGTCACGATATTCATTGATTATGTCCAACAACTGCATTTTACTTAGTTTATCATCAGTACATTTAACGTCATTTTCCGTGTATAAATTTTTAACACACACCGGTTTCTCTAAGTTTTTACCAAATTTAAAATTACCATTGTCGACACTTACACTCGTGTTTTTAAAAATGTCTTGACCCAAAAATAGGTCAGCGTTCATCAAATCGTCGTCTACAATGTAGGCAACTATTTCACGTTCCAGCTCGTCGATTTCTACTAGTAATGTAATTTTTTCATCAGCCATTTGCGTCCCGCCACAAATACCATTAATTGATATTGCACAATTTTCGCGAATATTTGGCAATTTGTTTGCAACAGATTTACGTATCATGTGACACTGACTACCCGTATCTAGAAAGGCGATAAATGTTTGTCCATTAACAATTACTGATTTTTTAAAGTTTTTCTCGAACTCGTTAATTTCTGCACGCTGCACGTTCACAGTTTTCTTTCCACAATTCTTTGGTTCACCGCGGCCATGAACTTTGCTGCAATCAACGCAGCGTTGACGTCGTTGTGGATTTGAACACTGACTAGAAATATGACCTACCTCCGAACAATAATAGCAAGTAATCGACCTTTTATTTGCCTTATCGTTAGTATTTGGTTTAGCGTTATCGTTTTTAAGTTCAAACTTTTGCTTAGTTTCGTTTTGTATACTCGTTTTATTGCTTTGCGCTCGTGAATTAGACACATAGTTTTCAATAGTCTCCCGCATATGTTTCACCGAATTAAATTTCACTGCAGCAATTGCCGTTTGCAATTCCCGATGTTTAAGTCCATCTCGCGTATATTTAATAATAGCGGCGTCGCTTAACTTGTATCGCCGACCTAACATGCATATACGGAAACAATAATCAGTAACACTCTCGTAATTTTTCCTACTGGCATTACACATTTTATAGTTTATGTCTGCTTCGTTCATTTCATAACTGAATTCTTCCTTTCAAACATTTCGCGAATTCATTCCAATTGCAAAACAACACGCATTCTGCTGTAAACGGCTAACATGATACACTTTTCATCCCAATTGTAAGCAGATAGCACACAGTTCACGCGATTAATAAACTGCTCAACAGTAACGGAATCTTCAGAATATGGATTGAAATGGGGCAGAGTCTCGGCAATCTCTTTAATTGAAGCTGTTCGTGTTCGCTCTCGTTCGTACATACGCTCATTGTCATTAGCTGATATTTGTTGTGTTGTCGTCGGTGTTTGTTGCATCGGAGTTTGTATGTCTGTTCGCTGCGGCTGTGCAACAGGCACCTGCGCTACAGCAATAGCACTCATCATTGTGTTCATCATCGCTCGTAGTTGGTCTAATTGATCTTGAATTGTTCCGCTCTCATTCGACGGTTCTTCTATTTCAACAATTTCGTCTGTACCTATGAATTCACTTAGCCATTGAATGAGCTCTGCTTTTGAGCCTGTTGTTGGCAAATTATTTTGGCGTAGAATATACTTTAATTGCTCCACCTTCAGACTCACAATCTTTATCTTATTATCAACCATTGTTGAAGCACTCGCGTTATTTACTTTATTTACGTTTGTAATGTTAGTCGTCACTTCGAAATATGCGTTTTCTTTTTTCCGTATTTGTTCATAAATGTCCGTTTTCACATTACTCGTTTGCGTTCATTCGTACGTTCTTATGAAAACCGAACCGATTATCACCATTTACACAATTATTAATGACCCCGCTTCTGAAACTGTCAGGAAGCCTGGCTAAATAAATTCACACGAACTCTATTCTGTTGAAATTAATATTTAATATGATGATTTATATAAAAAAAAAATTTAGAAAGTCAAGTAATTGAAATTATGATTTAATGTTGAGTCGCCGAATCGTCGCGTTAGCTTCGTGCTCGTTGTCGTACCAAACGTTGACTGATCCAAAAATGTTGAACGCTCGGCAAATGATGAACGCATGTCAAGAGTTGCCATATGTTTACACAAGTAAGCCAAGTAGTTGATTTTGTTCTTGTAGAAGTGCCTGGAGAAATTCAACTCTTCAAAACGCACAACAGCTACTTTACCATCTTGCAGCAGGTATTTGGCAATAACGGAGGCCAAGCGACTACGGCCATCAATAGATAACAATATATTTGACAAACCAGTCATGTTATAGAACCGCAGTTAGTTTTTTTGTTTGCATTTGAAGTTTTATATTAAAAATTTTCGTTGAAATCCGAATGATAAATTAAATTTTTCCGCCATATCTTCTACCAATGTACTTTCTCGTTCCGTAATTTTCGCCAAATCAATAAAAATCTTAAGCTGGCCTTTGCGTAAATTTTGACAATAATTCAGTCAAAATTATTTAATATAATATAGACTGGTGCTGACTAAGTTAGGCGACATTTTGACCATTTTTTGCTATTTTTCTTTTATCTATTTAATGTTTTCAACAATTTTTATTGGGCTTGAGGCCGTTTTTAATGAAAAGCTTATTGTGGAAAGGCAACAATAATCTGAAAAAATGCTAGAAGTGATAGCTATTTCAGAAGTCACCACTTTTCCTCATCAGATTTCTTTCAGTAGTATTCGAACCGACGCACAGTGCTGTGTCTCCATATAAAAAGTGGGCAAAAATAGAATAATGGACGGATTTGAGTAAAAATTCGTTTCTTGGTGGATTAGAGTACGGAGATTTCAAAAATCAATTTTTTTTTACCTATCTCCTACATTTTTCATGGAAACTGAGATTGAAACTGCAAAATTTGATATTC